AGTTATTTCTTGTATATAAACTTTAAAAAAGCATGTTGCAAATGATCAGAATTATTGAATGTGTTCAGTGCAGACTTGATCCGAATCTGAGGGGAAAATGGATTGAATGATAAGAAGAAAAATCAAAGTAACTCATGTTTTATTACTCAGACGCCCCTGGGGGTGGACTACATCCCCACAGAGGAGGAGAAGAGGGTCTTGAAAGAGTGCAACCAGGAGAGCTTCTTCTATAGATGTAAGTTTTTGTCTTTCACATGCAAGTCAAGGTAATACTGTTTTAAATAGATGAACAAAAGGGTTTTTAAGCCCCCGTTGGTTTGATTTCTTCACAGCGGTGCCATTCTCTGTGGTAAGCATGGGTGTAACTCAGGCCCTCGTCGCCAGAGGTAATTTGCATCAACACCCTGATTTGAACTTTAATTCTCGTAACTGTCTGGCTTTAAACTGATAGAGATCTGTTCAACTTTCTAGGTATTCTGTCTGCATCTCCAAGGTTTGGATCGTTACCTAAAGTGGCCTGTAAGTTCAGGATTTTAAGTCACAGAAGTACCAAAGTTAAACTGCTGTCTCTAGTCTAGAACATTTGATCAGTCTCACGCCATGTTGGTAAAACCTTAAAATAATAAATGTTTTGGAAGTTGGAGGTAGTGCAAGATCATTTATCAGCATTTATGTAAAGTGGGTTTACAAATTCCTAAAAATTAGATGTCATGGTAGTACAATCTCCTTTTCTCTGAGATTGAAAAGTCACTTTTAGTACATTTGACCCTACAGTTGCTGGTTTCTGTGGCTACCTCGCTGGAAAACTGTCATACATGAAGACATGCCAGGAGAAGTTTAAGAGGCTGGAGAACTCGCCGCTGGGAGAAATCCTCAGACAGAGGGCAGGAATGCCCCCCCAATAGTGAGTGTCACATGCACCACAATAACTGCCTTCCTGTCGTTTACAAACCGGGTTTGCCTATATCACGTTTATTTCCTTTCTTCTCCCTGTCCCAGTTCTACCCAGTCAGAGCTCAGCGACCCAAACACCCAAACGTTTGACCCCAATTTTAATCCCACAGTAGACCACAACTCCATGTCCAGCAACAGCAAAGATTACGGATTTGGCTTTAATCCTGAGTCATCCATGCAAATGGGAAAAGCAGATGACTTCAGCGCCCCAGGTATCAAATACAGGCCTGGGCTACAGCCAGGCCGCATGTCAACGATCAACAGTTTTGCTTATCATTGAAATTATATATATGTTTTGGTCTGAACGGTCATTTACAGACTTCACAATCCTACTTTAGGGGAGGCAACAGTAGATCACTTAACCTTGACTCGATGTTTTGTCTAATCTGACTAAAGCACTCAGAATTGAAACAGATTACATATGTAGCATCTTCAGCAAATATACAGTATATCCTTTATTGTTAGCTCTATTTTAAGCACATACACATAGTAGGAATTGAGTATTATGACCTGCAGTGTGACCAATCGAGGTTCAGACATTATGTCACCTTTTGCATTAAATGATCAATTGGGCATTAATATTACATGCATATTATGTCAAAATAAACTGATATAAACACAGATTCTACAAATATTAGGGCTTTTAAATGGCCGTGAGTCGAAAATTGAGGTGTGGATATTCCGCTTTTGTCTTTTTTTAACCTATTCTGAGCCCCACCGGATAACCCTCTCTGTCCCTGCCATCGGCAGCCCAATCATATATGGATGACGATGAGCCCCAGAGGAAGTCCATCCTTTACGAAGACCTGCGGCTCAAAAACAGGGAGAACTACGAGGTCACGCTAATTCAGAAGGCCGACACAATGCTCAAAGCCACACCACAAAGAGAGCCAGAGAGACCCAAGAAAGATGGTAAGCTGCAGCTCCTGCTGACGAGTGTTTTATAGCAAAAGATGGTTGAGAAGACATTAAAGGAAACGTACATATTTTTTCCTTCTTTATAAAAGCCCTCTGAAAATGTAATTTCCCCTTTTCTAATATTACAGCTAAGAAGAATATCTACGGAGACGCGTGGGAGGACTGAGACTGTTTATCCTTTAAGACATGATGTGTGCGCCGGTGTATCTAATAAGATGGGACAAACAGGTCTCAGTGATTGCTTGTCATATAGCTTCTGTAGATTCTATCTATGTGAATAAAACCAAACAGTGTGATGAATTCAATGTTGCTGCCTCGACACTAATATGACCAAAGAATCCCTCAATTCTGATTTGAAAAAAATAAACTCCCTTACCTACTAAAATATAAAATGAGGTTTTATTCAATGAAAAACATTCAGTTTAAATATAGAACAGCTGAGATACAACTGTATGAGATCAATGAATGCTCATCTTACTCGTGCCTTGTATCTTATGATGTCTAAGGAAATATAGATACAAATTGACTGGTCAGCCAGGTAAAAAGAACTGTGTAAAATTTTATTTGAAAGAGAAAAAAAAGACTTTTCAAGATACAAAACAAATTCAGATTTCTTTAGCAACATTTAATGCCCCTTTTGAGTAAGAATATGACTGTTTAGATCATCTGCTTGCCAGCAAAGCAGAATGTGCGTGGGCTGCTTTAATACCGTGCAATAAGCACTACTAAGGAACACTATTTACTTGAGATGAGCATATCTGTTAGCGGATGTTCTAGTATAGCATGTTGTTGTGTGTGCCAACTGGACCAACACATGAATCAGTGATGACTGATGAAGAAAAAAAGGTTTAAGCTTCCATACATTTAATGAGTATGGATTCTTAAGCAGAAACAAGGTAAAAAATGGCACTAAAAACATTACATTTACAACAGCACGTTTTAGACAGTACAAATGTGACAAAAAGGCTGCGATACAAAAGCCCACGTGTGAGTTAACACATCGAAACAGAGAGCAGTCTTTTGGGGAGTTTTCCAACAAATGGCCACGGCTAGTGTTGCAGGCCATGATGACTGTGACCGTGGTGGCAGCTGTGGCCAAAGCTCTGGCCTGTGAAGCTTCCGTGAGCGTGGCCCGAGGCATGAGCCGAGAGATGACCGTGTGGGCTGTGGCTGTGGGGTGGCACCGAACTGGGCAAAGGGCTGGACGGGTTCGGCCAGCCCTCGTAGGTAGCCGCCGACGCTTTGACGCTGGACGCCGGAGCGTAAGCTTGGACTGGGTAAGACCCAGGTGTGGGGTTGACCTGTGGGAGGAGGGTTTTCCTCCTCTCCTCGGCGGAGGCCGGAATGAACAGGTCACCACAGGCGCTCTTCAGCAACCTGAACGGGATCCTCTTCTCCAGAACTCCCGCCCTGGCCTCGGACAGCTCCACCAGCGAGAGCCACCCTCTCCCGAACATCCACCCGACCAGGATCCCGATGACGTTGCAGAGCATCACGCTGCGAGGGATGAGGGCGGTGCAGATCAGGAGGAGCACCCAAGGGAGGGCAAAGGTGGGGAAGCTGACGCCGCACAGAAAAGCTCTGGCCGTCTTCGTGTGCAGGGTCGTCAGAGCCACACAGGCCAGCGTAACAGGAAGCAAGCCTTCCGTGGGTGTCTGCATGTCCACTTCCTGCAGGAAGTCCAAGAAGCTGTAAAAGAGGCCCGTGGTGGAGGACAGCAGGGGGAAAAGGAAGATGAACCGCATCGTGCCGAGGCCTTTCTCCACGCTGCCACACAGAAACAGCACAGCCGTGATGTTGAGCAGGAGCTGAGCAAAGGTTCTGTGGTAGAACGGATACACAAAGACCCTGTGGATGTGCCCACTCTGAAAAACACTCTTACCGATGCTGAGGATGCCTTGAGTCAAGTTCAAATAAGTCTGGACGCCAAACAGAACACATGACAGCAGAGTCACTAAGAGAACCCCGCTACTAAGAGCAGGAGTGACCTCTTTGAAAACATAAAGGATCTTCTTAACGTTACTTGTCAGGCTCATCATGCGGAAATAACTTGCAGCGATCACGGGTGACGAGTCTGAGCACACGGTTAATAAGTTTTACCAAACGAAGTCATCTGCCTGCACATTCCCCGGAACAGGAAGTATTTTTGCATCCTCAGTGCTTTGGGCAGATGGATACTTTACGGCCGTCCAGTCAAAGCAGCTCTAGGTGGACGTATAAACGATTTACATTCACCAGTGCAAAAATGTATGAAAAACTCTTGACTCTGGTTCAATAGATTTCTTGAAAGTAACCCGGGAAGTGCGCTGTGGATGTTAAAAGAAACTTCATGTCAAAAGTATTTCAGAATAAAACGTTGTGACCATTCGTTGCATTTTGTTTGACTTGAATTTCTATAGAATATACAAATCTAAGTTGTATTCAAATGAAAATAGAAAATTTCAGATGCATGTAGGTGAAAAGATCAAGAGGAAGACTTAATGGAACTCTTACTAACAACACTCTGTATATTTTGAAGGACCTATTGGCACACATCCGGTGTTCTTCTTTACGCTTTATTGTTCCCATCATATATGTATAATTTAACTACACGCAAACATGCAATGTTCAACACAGCATGAGCCAGGTGAAAGTCTTGGTTCGGTTGTTGCGGAACATTAGTGTTTTACGTTATCCTTGTCAATGACTATCTAGGACTAATTTGATGTACGGGTATACAAAAGGTTTTATTATAAAAAAACTGAAATTGGAGACCAAGAGAGGAACAGCAATGGACCTCAAAGTGCTTTGATTTTTAACTTAAATGTTTAAAAATCAGAACCATATTGATTAAAATATAGACATATTTGCATAAGGAACTTTAACCGATAAGATATGAGACACTTTAGTTTTGTAGGATAGATCCCAACTCTTTGATGTCTGACCCCAAAACAACTTTTTTTTCACATATGGAACACATGCTGTTAAACATGGTACATTTAATGGTAATTTCTGTATTCAATAAAAAAAAACAACTAATAAAAAATTAACCAACATCATGACCATTTGATATCTGTGTTCGGATTCCTTTTTTTTTTATTTTATTTTTTTTAGAAGGACGTAAAGCGTCTCTCCCCTTTCCGGTGTCGTACAGTTAATGCGGCGGATGTTGATGTTTTGTTTCGGAGCCTGTAGGATGATGTGAGCGACCTGCTTTTTCTTACTGGTCACCATCCCCTCCGTTAAGTTTCTTCGTACAATTTTTCTCGGTAAGCTCGAACCGTTCGGCGGCATCGTGTCTCTCTCGGTGTCTCGTCCGGGAAGCGCGAGACCGAGTCGCGCGATGATGGAGGACTTTGATGAGATCTACGAAGAGGAGGAGGAAGACGAGGACGAAGACAGGGCCGCGGAAGAACAGCTCCTCAAGTACGCTCCGGACCCGGTGGTGGTCAGAGGGTCCGGCCACGTCACGGTGTAAGCACACGGCGAAGCTTGCGGGGATGTGGAGTAGAATTGTGTCTTTGTTAACTGAAGAGTAAGAGCCGCGGCCTTAGTGAAAACTAGCCGCTAACTGTGTTAGCCGCAGCTGGTGACCTAACGAAGTCGGCTAGCTGCTAACTTAAAAGCAGGCTAACCTAGCGACCAAATTGCCATTATATTGGCTATATTTAAACTGACCCGTCGTGTGTCTTTCTCGAAAGGAGGTAATTTTGCCACTGTCAACTCAAAATAGTGAGAAACTACGTATTAGGAGAAAGTCATGTCGGACTGATTAGACCAAGACATGGTTTGTGTACGCGCACGCGCGTGGTACTGACACTTAAGGCAGATACTGAAACTGAAAGCATTAGACACTAGAGTTTATTTAGCTCACTTGGTTCAGGTCGATATACAATCAACACAGAGTCTAATAATAGACCACTAGGGTAAAAGACACAGTCCAAAAAGAATCAACATGATGTAAAAGTCATGGTTGTTTAGCTTAAAAGCCTGTTGTGAATTATCAGTTCTCTAAAACTCTCTTAAAGATGTCTGCTCTGATAGATGTTATGTCTAAGCAACAACTACATCTTGAAACCAGAAGCGTGATCTATTATTAAAACCGTCAAAAATGTTTTTCTGTCCCATCTAACCCCGCAGGTTTGGACTTAGTAACAAATTTGAGTCGGAATTTCCATCAGCACTTACAGGAAAGGTGAGTACTTTTATTCCACCGTGCAAATTAAGAGCCGGCAATAAAATGGGACATGCCCAAACATGCCTTTTATGGGCACTGGGAAAATCTGCAAATAAGAAAACCATGGTCGGTTTAGATATTATCGAACATGTCGTAATGTCACATGTATGTGTGTGTTTTGGGTTATTGTGTCATGTAGTGTAAAAGCACTATGAGCTGTCAGATCAGAAAGTGCTCTTTAAGAGCTAATTTTCCTATTTCATCCAAAATGTTAAGAATAGATATGGAGGGGCTTTTACTGACTTTTAATTCCTAATTACGTTTGGTTTCATTTGATGTGAAAATGAGTGATTTAAAAAAAGATTAGTAAATAAAAAATTCTTTGTCGAGAAAAAGTACATGGCTGACTTTAGTGCCCAGTTTTGAAGAAACTAAGGAGTCTTAACAGAACTCTGTCTGTTCAGTGGGCTAATTTAGATATAGACCATCAGTCATGCCAGCTTCCAGTCTTGTAGAAATGGCAACACTGTAGGAAGAATTTGGGTTGCTTATGAATCAAATTTAGTTACGGTGGATTACAGAAAAAAGAGTAAACCAGGAGATGTTGTTACCGTGCGTTTAGAACTGAAGTTGACACTCATTAGCATTTCATGGATTAATACATTTGATTCCTTAAAAATCTTTATCTTAGTAAAGAATATCTACAGGACACCACACAACCGTGATCTCAGATGTCATTATAGCTGAATAGGTGTAATGTCTATGTGCTTCCTTTAGGTGGCGCCGGAGGAATTCAAGGCCAGCATCAATCGCGTGAACGGCTGCCTGAGGAAGACGCTGCCAGTGAACGTGCGCTGGCTGCTGTGCGGCTGCCTGTGCTGCTGTTGCACTTTGGGCTTCAGCTTGTGGCCCGTCATCTGCCTCAGCAAAAGAGTGAGAAAGCCACCGGGCTAGCCTCCACGCTCGTGCATGCCGCGCTCGGTATGACGGCAAAAAACTAACATAGCTTTTACCTTCCAGACGAGAAGATCGATAGAGAAGCTCTTGGAGTGGGAAAACAGTAGACTTTATCACAAGGTGAGCGGTGAATATATCCGCCTTTTATCAAGGCCAATGGGACTGTTGTCTGATTGTCAGTGTCCTCTCTTTGCAGCTGTGTTTGCACTGGAAACTTAGCAAAAGAAAGTGCGAATCCAACAACATGATGGAATATGTAAGTACACGTTTTTTAGCTCTGTGTTTGTATTAGATTACCAAAAAAACTACAGATTTATTAACTCTGTATACACTATATAAAGGCAGTGTGTCCTAAGATCTCTATTGACACACAGCACAAAGGTTATAATACAGAGTGATCCAGTAATACAAGTTTTAACCTGCAAGGATGACAAGTTTGATTGTAGTATGTATAGGAAAAAAAAGTATTTTTTTTGTTGTTATGGTGTCAAATCCACCATTTTTTAAATTTATGTTTATAAAAGGGTCTTTTTTAAGAACCTTGATTTGTATTTTCAAGTGAGCTTGAAGATTACAGTATCTTTCTTAGACTTTTTTCAAAGGTTGCACTGTAATCTAAATCTAAATTAATTAATCGTAGATGGAAAATAACCTCTTTCCTCTTTATTTTTTGCTGTTAAAAGAAGGCTAAATTTAGTTGTTTATTTGATTAAAAAAAGAAAGCAATGATAAAAAAGAGGGATAATAACTAATGACGTTTTGCTGTAGTGCAAAATCCTTGCAGTTCTTTTACCCTTTTGGCCATTCAGGAAACAAAAAGAGGTCGCATTGTAAGTTGAAACAATACAGGAGAATGTCCGCCACTGAACATACTGTCCTCCCTTGTGTACCACTGAGCTACCACCCCTTGACTTGACTGTAAGAGTCTGTTTCTCTTACTACTTGCAGGTTATCCTAATAGAGTTCCTACCTAAGATCCCCATCTTCAGACCGGACTAGCCTGGACCAGGTCTCTTGCAGAATCTCCGAGGCTGAGTAACCACTCCCCTTGAAATACTCCAATGCTTGTGTTTACATTGGTCCCCCACACCTTTTTTTTTAAACTTTTTTTTTTTATATAACCCTCGTCCTCACACAGACCTTATCAACATCTTTGTTTACAAACTTGAATGTCCCACACTTGTGTCTGGACTGAACGCAGCATTGAACTTTGACCTTTTGGTCGAGCGGGTGCACTGCTGGCTCGCACCAGTCTGCGGGATGCGTAGCGGGAACGGGAAGTGTAGCCACGAGGCACCGTTGCGGATTTCTTATGGAACTTTACACGTGAGACGGGACTCTATGAGTTATGTGAGAAGCAACTGGAATTTAAAAAAACTTTTTTTTGTGGTCCTTTTTGTGTTCTGTAACCGAGCACACAGCGAACGATGAAACGAAACACTTTCGTTTATTACATCCTGACTTCACCTTAAAAAAAAAAAAACCTTAAAAAAACACCCCAGTGCTTTCTGAACAGTTGGAGTGCTCCACTGGATCTGAACGAGAGGCCACGGAAACTAAACCGGCTGAATTCCACCAAACGCCCTGCTACCACCAACGCTTCGTCCGGCCATCTTTCAGGCCACTGCAGACCTCACTGTGCACCACCCAGAGACAATCACACACTCTTGACTGCACTGTCCACGTGTGTGAGCGGGTCTTTGTGCCACGCTGTTCTACACTTGAGCAAGTTGAAAGGACAAGTGAGAGATTTTAGCAACGAAAAAAAAAATCAATATTTGTTTACCGTTTTGGTGAAGAGAGACCATATTTGCTTTTTTTTTTTTTCTGTGTGCGTGCGTGTGTGTGAGTACATGTGTGTCCGATAGAGAAATTAGCAAAAAAAACAAGAGGGAAAAAAAAAGCGACAAATCAGAAATGAAGACAAACTCTTTACTCTGTTCTGCAGGGGTTCTTTATTTGATTGCCATAATCTTTTTTTTCCTCTCTAAAGAATTCTAAAATCTAACTTTTGTTTTTTTTATTCAAATTTTTTATTTTTTATCTGTGATCACGTGTCAACACTGAAGCACACGGTTACTACATCCGTCACTCCTTTATGTGTTCCTGTCCCGTTTAGACAGCTAACCACAGATTATACTGTATGTCGGTGTTCAGTCGGAGAGCAAAGAGGCTCCTCGGAGGAAACAGTTAGTTCTCTTTCCTCTGAAGGACTTGGGTTCAGTGGGAGAATTCAGTGGTCTTTGGAAGGTGGTGAGCAGGTTTGCTCACCATGAAGCGGAACTACAGTAGTCGGCAGAATCAGAGTCCTCCCAAATCTGGATGCTGAAACTTGCACAAATCGGTGTCGACGACACGCTATTTCCTCTTCAGGTCTGACTGGAAGCTTCGAGTTATTTCAGTTAGCTTCAATAAGTCATCTGGAGTAAAACTAAGGTTTTTTTATTTGTTTTTTCTAAAAGCTGTTCCATGTTCTAGATCAGAGCACGAGGCGCGTATCGTTTTAAAGTGGATACATTTTACGTTTGAAAAAGGAAAGCAAGATAAAAGACGCCTCTGTGCAGTTAAGACTCTCCATCAGTTTTTCCTACTCTGCACGCCTGTGTCCAAACATCCAATTTACGGAGACTAAGGACTACGCAAGTCGAAGAATTCTAAGAAAAAAAAAATCAAAAGCCGCCTCGTATTCGGTGGGTCGGCTCGGGCGATTGTATGGGCGACACTCAGGGGAGATCAACAACAAAATGTAGCATTACAAAAACCTCACAGTCAGGTATGTTCCAAAGTCACACCAGGGTATGGACTTCAACACACAAACCACACCATGCTCCGGGTAGTCTGGGGAAGGGGGTGGGGGGGTGGGATGGAGTCTGTTTTTAAACTGAGGGAGGAAGACCCCTCATGCGTAGGAAGACCCCCATTCACTTGATTAACGCTGGTTTGCCTTCTTTTTGGTTCATCTGTCACTTTTTCTACGTATGTGACTGTGCTCTGTGTAAATCACAGCATAAGGCCATATGCATTTACTGGTGGTGTGTGTATGCATGTGTGTGTGTTTGTGTGTGTGTGTGTGTGTGTCAGAGAGAGAATGTGAACGGTGGATGGAAATGCAAATGTTCTCCTAGAATCTGACTGTGATCGAGTCCTGCACAGAAAATGAATCCTTCATATATATAAAATCCAGAGTGTTCTGTAAATGCAAATGTGTGTGATTGTGTGTGTATGTTTGTGAGTAAGGGAGAGAAGTGCGTAGATGACTCATGAGCAGATGTATGTACAGTAATAAACAACCAATAAAAGAGGTTATGGGCAGCCTTCTCGGTTCTGCAGGCGCATTTCTTAATTGACTCTGAATCTTATTCATCAAAAGAAATGAAATGGTTTCAAATCGCTGCTGTGACCCAAAGGCTGGACGGTTTATGGACTGTTAGGTTCGTTCTTCTTTTTGCACTTGTTAGGAAGAGCCGCGACAAAAGCACAACGAATGAAAAAGCTACTTCCTCTGACAATTCCTGAAAATGCTTTTGAGTTTAAAAGCCAATGTCCTGAAAAAAACTGATCAACCGTCAGAATAGTCGGTTGTTGCTCTGAAACACTTAAAAAACATGGTGAAAAAAGCTAAAAAATATAATGAGGGTTGGGTTTTCCACATTACCTTTGCTTATGCCAATTCCCCCAAAAAATTGTGGCGCTTTTTAAAAAAACATAAATAAGGACACAAACAATTTTTCTGTTATCTATTGTGAAGGATTATTTGATTCACAGCAAAACAGAGAAACACTTGAAGCGAGCAGAAAAGAGCGGAAAGAACTAAATAGGTGCTTTGCCCACAGGTCAGCCTGACCGTGCAAAAAGAACACCCTTAAGAGGCACATTCAAACACAAGGCGGATGTGGAGGGAAAAAACTGCAACTGTAAAATAGAAACAATTCCAAATATTTTGCCCCGCATCTGAACTTGTATACATCTTAAAAACCACATAACTGCTAAAAGTGGAGTGTTGCCCACAATATCTCCACTATTGACCAGACTAACAGTAAATCAAGCGTTGGACCACTCGTCCAGTCCCGCCCTGCTGGGGTGCCACCAGATGGTGACAGTGTACCGTCCCACCAATCACCTCCTGCCATTCCACTAGCCCTGTTTTCTGCTTCAGTTTGTGTGTTCCCATTGGTGTGTTACTTAGCACTGCTATATTAAAGAACTGGGATGGCCGAGTATATTGAAACGAGACCCACACACACTAGTGATGAGACGTTTTAGTTCATACTCATTTGCACTAGTACAGTGGGGCAAAAAAGTATTTAGTCAGCCACCAATTGTACAAGTTCTCCCACTTAAAAAGATGACAGATGCCTTTCATTTTCACCATAAGTAAACCTCAACTATGAGAGACAAAATGAGGAGAAAAAATCCAGAAGATCATATTGTCTGATTTTTTAAGAATTTATTTGCAAATTATGGTGGAAAATAAGTATTTGGTCAAAAACAAAAGTCCATATCAATACTTTGTTATATACCCTTTTTTGGCAATGACAGAGGTCAAACGTTTTCTATAAGTCTTCACCAGGTTCTCACACACAGTTGCTGGTATTTTGGCCCATTCCTCCATGCAGATCTCTTCTAGAGCAGTGATGTTTTGGGGCTGTCGTTGGGCAACACGGACTTTCAACTCCCTCCAAAGATTTTCTATGGGGTTTAGATCTGGAGACTGGCTAGGCCACTCCAGGACCTTGAAATGCTTTTTACGAAGCCACTCCTTTGTTGCCTGGGCAGTGTGTTTGGGATCATTGTCATGCTGAAAGACCCAGCCACGTTTCATCTTCAGTGCCCTTGCTGATGGAAGGAGGTTTTCACTCAAAATATCACGATACATGGCCCCATTCATTCTCTCCTTCACACGGATCAATCGTCCTGGTCCCTTTGCAGAAAAACAGCCCCAAAGCATGACGTTTCCACCCCCATGCTTTACAGTAGGTATGGTTTTCTTTGGATGCAACTCCGCATTCTTCTTCCTCCAAACACGACGAGTTGCGTTTTTACCAAAAAGTTCTACTTTGGTTTCATCTGACCATAGGACATTCTCCCAATCGTCCTCTGGATCATCCAAATGTTCTCTAGCAAACTTCAGACGGGCCTGGAGATGGACTGGTTTAAGCAGGGGGACACGGCTGGCACTGCAGGATTTGAGTCCCTGGCGGCGTAGTGCGTTACTGATGGTAGGCTTTGTTACCTTGGTCCCAGCTCTCAGCAGGTCATTCACTAGGTCCCCCCGTGTGGTTCTGGGATTCTTGCTCACCGTTCTTGTGATCATTTTGACCCCACGGGGTGAGATCTTGCGTGGAGCCCCAGATCGAAGGAGATTATCAGTGGTCTTGTAGGTCTTCCATTTTCTAATAATTGCTCCCACTGTTGATTTATTCACACCTAACTGCTTACTGATTAGAGATTCAGTCTTCACAGCCCGGTGCAGGTCTACAACTTTGTTTCTGGTGTCCTTCGACAGCTCTTTGGTCTTGGCCATAGTGGAGTTTGGAGTGTGACTGTTTAAGGTTGTGGACAGGTGTCTTTTATACTCTTTATACGAGTTAAAATAGGTGCCATTAATACAGGTAACGCGTGGAGGACAGAGGAGCCTCTTAAAGAAGAAGTTACAGGTCTGTGAGAGCCAGACATCTTGCTTGTTTGTAGGTGACCAAATACTTATTTTCCACCATAATTTGCAAATAAATTCTTAAAAAATCAGACAATATGATCTTCTGGATTTTTTCTCCTCATTTTGTCTCTCATAGTTGAGGTTTACTTATGATGAAAATGACAGGCATCTGTCATCTTTTTAAGTGGGAGAACTTGCACAATTGGTGGCTGACTAAATACTTTTTTGCCCCACTGTATGTCTAAATTTCCTCATGCACAAAAGCTATTTAACTTGGTTGGCATTCACAGAGAGAAAAATTAACCCTTGGGTTGTATGGATTTCGTTTAGATTTTCAGGGGGGATAAATGGAAAAACATCAGTTGATGTGTTTCTTACCTCTTTGCTGCGATTAGAAGTGAATGTTTGCTTTCTTCCGTAGACTCTCACTTATCCAACTCTTATATAATCTGCAGTGTTTTTTCTTCAATTGGATCTAAAGTACAAACAAAAAAAAAGACTGGTATCAGTCCTATTTTTAGAATTTGAAATGTGAAGCAGTAAGATGTTCCATAGAAATTCTGATAACAGATCAACAAACGTACCCAAAGCTGCGTTCCCCTCTCTGGCCGGCCACGTCTGTCGGAGCCCGGCTCCGTTCTCGGCTTTTTGCGTCCACCATGATTGCAACATTTTTATCTCAACTTTAGCTCTTTTCATAAAACCTGCTGGGATGTTACTGTCTGTTCATTTGGCTCTCTGGTGCACTGACAAAATGGCCCAGATGTTTTTTTGTGATTTTTTTCTTTCTCCGCTTCCTCCAGTGACCTGATTGTGCCACATAAGTCTTTCAGAAAGCTGAACCACTTTGTTTTTGCCTGTCTTGTATGTTAATTGGTTTAATGATATCTCCACATTAGTATAGATGTTGTGTTATATTTTGATTCACGCTATTGCTTTTTCATACATTATATGTATTTATTTTTATGGGACATTTGGTAATATAACAGTATCATTTTGAAGCCATTCAGATACTCAAACAGCTTCCCACAGCAAGTTGGAAGGGGGGGGGGTAGTTTTTGATTGCAAGAAGACTTCAGGGACATCAGGGAGAAAGGAAACAACTTTGCCAATAGCTCCGACCTTGCAAAGATTAAGATGAGTGGACTGTCCAGTTGTTTTGTAGTCCGATGCATTCACATGACAGGCACGCATCTTCCTGGATAATATGTTATTTCCCAAAAATTGACACAGATTAAAGTCAATTACAGAACCAGAGGGTTATCCGTTTTCTTTGATTAGATTATGAAATGCCACCCAATGGTAACATTCTTTCCTACTTTGTCTTGTCACATTTTGATTGCCACAAATTCTTTGATATACTAATAATAATCATGTCCAATGTTCCCTATACCACTACCATCTGATACAACTGCTATAACATTACAAAATATTTGTTATTTCAGCACCGAACCAGTCCAACCAACCCCATTCCTCGTAACTCAGCTGAAAATATGCCCCCACACACACACACACACACACACTTTTATTATATAATTATTAAGAAATAGAACATTTAATGGCATGGGACAGGCAGTAGATAATTTGAGGGTTTTGAAATTCTATTCACTGATTTTGAGTTTTCCACATGTAATTTAGACACCCTTAGTTTAGTCATAGACGTGGATTTGTCTGCATAAATGTAACCTTTCAAATGTCCTTAACAGAAAAAAGCAAGTCGAGAAATGCCCATTCAGTGGGATTCACTAGAGGACCTTTGTAGCCTGTAGTTGCACTTGTTAGTCATCTGAGCTAGGAACAGAACTGGGACATGTGTCGTTTTACAGAAAAGGGTCCAAAAGGGGTTTCTTAAGGAGCTGGAGTCCTTATTGAGCAAGAACATTGTCATTTACTAATTTCTGAGTGAAACAGTTCAATTGGAATCTGTACATTTGTTGTTCTTAACTGACAGTAGCATCTTTTTCAAATACCGACTCATTTACGTCTTTGTTACGTGCTTTCTTTAGGTACCTGTAGGATTTTGAAGTTGGCAAAGTCATTTTGTCTAAACATGACTGCTTAGGCAGCGCAAAGGGAGAGATAAAAGAAAAAAGACTAAAAAATAGGGGGGGGAACTCCTTATAGTAACCCTAAGAAGCCTGACCCAAGCAGAAAATTTATTTAAAAAAATGAAGGCCTTATTTGGCTCTGTAGCT